ATGCAAGCATCCATCAAAACTCTCCTGTATTCAGTGCCTTTGGAGAAGAGTACCATCCTATCTGCTGCGAATCCAGATTATTCTCTCTACACTGTGGTGGAGGTCCGACTACCATTATAATTGTGTTTGTTTGTTGATATGAAGATCATAGGGGAAGAGAAGCAATATAAGATGAAGACCATGTCCTGTGACTCTTCTTCACCTCATGTCATCGAGGATCGCACTTTTCTTTCAAGGCGTTGCCCGCTGATGGCAATGGGACTGAGTAACCTTGAGCTGTCATCAAGACACATTCATCCCAGTGCATCATTGTCCTTTTTTTTGCTTTTTGTGACTAATGTTGGCAAGATATTAAGGAGGAAGCAATGGAGTCAGAGTGATTCACAGCAAGTTATGAATATTTGAATATTATAACCATTAAAGAGCATATTTGAATACTTAACTCCAATTAATCTTTAATTGTTAGAATGTGTGAAGTTGAGGCCTTAGAAGTCGTTTTGGTGCATATTCCATCTTACTCATTCTGCCTTCCCCTTGTGCTCTTGAATCCCAGCAAAAAGTGTAGTTAGCAACCCTCTGGCTTTTCTGAAAGTAAATTCTTTAAAAGCTTTTCTATGTTTTTTTAAGAAAGCATTAAAATTATTAGTGCATAGTAATAAAAATAAAACATACTTAACATTAGTTTGGATTGTTTCCTATTATAATCTGTTATTTGGTTGGGCAGTTAACTGATTTTTACTTATTAAAAAGTTCCTGTATTCTGGAGTCTTTCTTTTTCCTGCATTAACTTTAGGAATTTGCAATAGACTAAGTACTCATTGACCTCTGTAGAGTTATTTCTCTCAGAGAATCAGTCTTCTTAATTACTGATTAGAACACAAACCAATATGCCCATCTTCATTGTAATTATACAATGGCTAAAGGAAAATGACCTTGAAGACTGTCTCTCAGTTTAATGGTGTGGTTTCATTTTAAAATATAAATAATAGAATAAAAATATTTTCCATAAAATTTCTGATATCTAATTAATGTCTTTCAGAGTAACTGTGGTATCAAACATTTCCTCTAATTATATTCATTAGTGGCTTCTCCTGGACAAGTTTTAATTAAGTTGTACAACGATGATCAATACTCATTTTGTATTCATTGCAGTTTACAACAAGCATATACAGTTCAGAACAATTTAATTACTGTAATTGTGGCACAGAAGATACTTAGTGACTGTGCTTCATTACTGCCAAACCCCCTTTTAATAAATTCAGTAATGAAATTGGAAAAGGAAATTCTGAAAATTCACATTTATATATAAGCTATGTCTAAACTGGTTTTGATGTTAGTAGCTTAAGTAATGGAGGGAATGGAGGCATTAATAACATCAGTGGCATAGTGTTTTTTTTCATACATACCATCATGAATATTGAGAAATTATTAGAGTATAAATAAGAACACTTGTAATAATAGTTACATTAATTACTAAAAATAATTTAGGGATGTTAGGTAATCAGAATACTCTATTTTGTCTCTAAATAAGACTTCAATTTTTATTACTTTCATTTCCTTAAATAGGAGTAGTATTTTGATTCATAAGGAATGCTTCTGAATATGTGAACTTCTATTAATGAAGATTGTGCTACAGGTGCATTTTACAAGGAAGGTAGAGATTTTCTAGCAGCATCATGGATGTATACCAGGCTTTCTCAGCTTTGGCACTAGTGGAATTTGGGCCAAATAATTCTTTCCTGGGGAGTGGGAGAACTTTTGCTGTGCATGAAGGAGGTTTAGTCAGTTGCAAGCCTGGTTTCCTCCCATGAGATACCGGTAGCAAATACTCCCTCTACCTTCCAGTTTTGACAATCAAAAATGTCTCCAGACATTATCAGATGCCCATATTGAGAACCACTGATGTGTGTTGATTCAGCCACACCCTCCTGATCTGCCCACTGACCAAATGATTCATTCATAAGACAAATGGCTATTCTGCTGTTCTGAGTGCAGGCTACGTTCATAGGCATGAGTCAAACATGGTGTTCTTTTAAGGAACAGTACAACTCTATGTATTCCCTGTTTTGGAGATTAAACTCAGATGTTAATAAAATGTTCAATAATACTACCTTACCTAGATTTAGGAAAAGGAGAATCAGAGACGGCTTCCTGGAGAAGGCAATTCCTGAAATACATTTTGAAGGACAAATGAAGAGTTAGCATTCACAACAGGAGAAGGGTATTTGAGATAGCCAAAGCAGCACATGCAAAGCTTGGAGGTAAAAGAACACTCTATCTGTATCTGTCTATCTACCTATTTAATTTTAGATGGTTCTAATTTTAGATAGTTGTTTTCCCAGAGGCATCAAATCTCAATTTTCTCTGCATTATATGAACAAAATTATAATATAGCACTCTGTCGGTAATTACCTACAACACCTAACTTTTCTCTTTTTTCTCAGTTTCCAACTCAGTAATGGTATATGTAAATATCTGCTTTGCATTGTGAATTTTTTTAAAATCATTTGATTTTAGGAGGAAAGCAATTTTAGACAGTAGTGAAATGTGACATTCATGTATTTCCTGTAAACCTCCTAATCCGTTTATCTGAAGAAAACCTTTTGACAAGTTCATCAAAAGGAAGATAATAATACATTCCTACTGTTATTTTCATGTGTTTAGTAATGTACTCCAGTATTGAAAACTGCCAATAAATTGTGTTAACAGCCAAGCTAGTATTTTGAGGTCATTCATTTACTTTCACACATATATATTTTCTAAACCAAAAGAGTAAAAATGGTCATTTAAAGTTAATTCAAATGAGGGTCACTAAATTTTAGAAAGACTTCTAGAATTCTGTTGGTAATAATGAATATTTCAAGATGCACATATTATTAAGAGATCTCCTAGGAATGCTGTGTTTCTTATGGCAGGCTAGTTATGAATTCCTAGAATTCCTATGCACATCAGTTCGCCACCACAGGATTCAGTTCAGTATGACTGCCATCACGGTAGAAGACCTTTAGTTTGCTCATTTGTGCTACTTTATCTAGTCTACGCAGAGAGGCTGCCGCTCAATATCAAAGGTGAGTCAAATGAGTCATAAAGACGAATAAACAGAACGATTTAGGTTCTGCATTCCCCTGATATTTAGTCATGTCTAGACACAGCCCTAGTGCCCCAGAAAAAACTAAAATGAGGACAAGGACATTTAAGTTTAATGTAGCCTTATTCCCATAGAAACCAGAAAAGCCAACAGTAGAGTAAAAAGATGAGAGTACAGATCTATCTGAAAAATTAGATTTAGTAGCGTGATTGGCAGATATGCAAGGTTAGTGGGTAGTGAAACAGTTTGGGTTTGTTTGCTTTTGGTTTTTGCTGTTTTAAATGATAGCTTTCTCATTTATATGTTTCCTCTAAAAAATAATAATTCCACAAATTATTTATTATTTTGTTCCCTAAAGCCAGTATGGTGTGTGTAAGCTAAAGTTGATACATGTTTTATTGGCATGCATTTTTATTAAGAGCTCAGAACTTAATGAGGAAAAGAAACAAGTATGTGTATATGTTATAGTATTGAGTATGTATCTTTTTTAACTTTTAAGTTTTTGATTTATTCTTACAGTAATAATTTTAATACAGACTGTTACCTTAGTGTATAAAATATGTATGTTTGCATATGTGATATGAAATAGGGTTAAATGCATATAATTTCCATAGCATGTAGAAAATTTGTTCCAGTGGTGATCTTGATTTCCTTGGTCATAATAATTTTATGTTCTCTTGTTGAAGTTTTATAACACATTTCTCAGCCTATCAACTGTTAAACCTTTAGTACACCAGGCATACCCTTGCAGATAGAACCATCTTTTTTAGAGCTGCTGACATTTCAAGATACTGGCTCTTGAATGCAGTTAGAGGAAGTTTCAGTAGGTCTGACTAGAGTTAATCCAGTTGTTTCCCTTTTGGGTCCAAATGCTCAGAGTGCCTCAGCTCTACAGCATGCCAGGTAGATCCATTTGGTTTAGGTATAATACATTAAAAGATAATGATCTGTGATCTATATGTAAAGCATTTTGACTACACAGCACCCTTTAAACTACTTTAATTTCACAGGGACAGTAGGTGAACCTGTTGAAATGTAAATTCCGTATTCCATGAGTGTGTGTGTGTGTGTGTGTATTTGTGTGTGTATGTGTGTGTGAGTGTGGGTGTATGTATATGTACCTACTTTTCCATGGCTTCCTTTTGCAATGATGATGTAGATTTACATTCTGGGAATTACAAATATTTTAGGATATCCAACCATAATTGAGGTCTGCCTTTCAGAAATTTAGCTAATAGTCCTATAAGAATCTCATTTTGGACTATAGTTACATAATAAGTAGAAAATATCTTTGGGAGTGCAGTGGGCACTTAACTATAGCAACAACCTTAGAGCTGCTGCAGTTTTCTAGGCTTGGTTATTAAGGGTCTGTAGACTTATTTCTTAATTAAATTTGCAATTTGGATTACAGATTTTGGTTAATGTCACAAAAAATGTTACAAGCTTGGGAATAGTTTATTGCTGCTTAATGTAAATTATTTGTTAACTGCTTCATAACAGCTTTCCAAAAGAAAATGGACTTTATTGAGCCACAGTTTTATGGCTGAAGTTTAATCCTAAGACCTAGAGCCTTTTAAAACAATGGCATGGCCCTCATGGTTATCTGTGGACCTTTCATTTTTTTCTTTTTCTTATTAATTATTTTCTTTTATTCTCGTTTGACAGAAAAAAGCACTTAGGGTAATGACTTGTTTACATATTTTTGCTGTAATTGTTCTCCAAATGGTTATTCAAAAATCACTTGTTCTCTTGCATCCTAATAATGTTTTCTTTGAATTATAACTCTTGCATTCATCATATGAGTGCTTAATCTACTTTCAGTCATGTGAGCAATTTGTACTTTTAATAACACTATGAAAACAATGATGTATATTTATATATTTGACTAAGCTTTGTGTTCTTTCTCTTTTAGTGAATTTGTTGGATTCGCGGACTGTCATGGGGGACCTGGGATGGATTGCTTTTCCAAAAAATGGGGTAAGCCTTATGTAATTTTCCCTGCAACTGAAACTTCATGAATAAACATCATCTTAAATGTCACATAATTGAAAACTCTCTGGACATATTTGTTGTTAAGATATGAGGGCTGTGTGTGTGAAGGGCCAGAGGAGACCTCAGATTAGCTCTGGCTAGGAAAAGCAGGCAAATAGGGAAGAGATTTTAATGACTGAATAACAAATGTATTATTTTCCTTGCTGGATATTTCCCTGTGAAGAAATGGGAAGTTTCCTTTAGCATTCAAGTTGAAGCAGCCAACACATTTTTGGAATTGGTCTATCTTTAAAAAAAGAGCTTAAAAGAAAAAAACATTTGCTGCTGATTTGCCCTTATCCTGTTTATACTGAATAGGAAATAAAAGTTAACATGTCAATGACCAGTGTTGAATCGACACTGGGACCAATTTATTATATGTTTCATTCACTACATTAGGGAATGAAAATATAAGAAGTTCCTTTAAATTCCATTAAGATTAAAATTTCTCACCTTATTAGTTCAGTCATCATGCAAAGGTATTCTTTTAATTCTTGAATTTTTCTCTGTTGAAAACTTTCAAAAAATATGCATCATTGGAAGATTTTTATAATCAACCATTGTTTTTGTTAGTAAATTATTTTACTGATATACATTAAAAATAAGACCTTTGGGGTGAAAATTAGGTAAGACATTTTAAACAATATGCATATTAAAGTCTTTATAATACTACCAATCTTAATGCATAGATTATACACAAAGTATTCTATTATTTTTTGCTTACTTAAAAATACATCCATATTATTAGATGAAAATGAAAGCATAAGTAAAATATTGTGATGTAAAATCACTGTATTACGCAGAAAACATTAACTATAATGCATGACTATTATATTAAAAAACAATCTAGACTTTGAGAGATTTCTGTTATTTAGTAACTTTAATTTTTATCTTTTTTAATTTTCAAGTTAAAACTACCCAACATCGTTTTTGAACCACCTTATGGCAAAGGCAAATGATATTTTCAATCCTCCATCTTAAGAAAATATTGTCAGACAATTTGAATACTTAAAACTTGATAATATAGTGTATATGTGCAATTAATTTAGAAAACTATGCAGACTAATAGTATTTCATATGACTTTGAAGGTTAATTTCAATTTAATTAAGTAATCGAATATTCTAACAAGTGGTTAAAACAACCCAAATAGCAAAAATGTAATTTTTTTTCCAGTTGATGAGTAAACCAAATGTACTAATCAGCTCTTTACTTATGATATTATTATTTTTATAGAAATAAAATGAGTAGTATTATTTGTTCTAATTCATAATAATTTATATGTTAACATTCTTATCTCAGTGTGCTTCCTCTTTTTTTCATTAAGCTGGTATTTCTTTTTGGTTGTTAACTTTTATGGTTCCATTTAGAGATATAAATAAAATATTAAAAGTAGATTCTTAAGCTATTGGAACATAAAGAAAGGCCAAATGAGAAAAAGTTGTCCTACTCAGGTATAGCTTATGCTGACATAATGGTAAATGTTCTTATTCTGTCTCTCTTTTATCTTTCTTATGAGCTTCCTTGCTCTATTCTTTCTTTCTCCTTCCCTTCACTTGCTACCTAAGTTTCTTTTTTTATTTCATCTTTCACTGCCCCTACACAGGTAATACTGACTACCATCCACCTATGAGAACCTGTAAAAATGTTTTGTACTCTGCATTTTTTCATATATCAAAATGATTTATTACATAAATATTTTAAATTGCCCTTTCTGAGAAGATGGCTGACATGTTGGGTTGAAATTAATTTTTTAAAAGTCTGAGAAGATATGTCATTCTCTGCAAATCTCTTTGCATTTAGTTCTATGTTTCTCCTGTTTTTATTCAGAAGTTATTTAGAAAGGGTTTTACTGAGTGTAACTGTGAGAGTAAATCTGATGTTGCACTTGTTCTTGCAACTAGACATTTTGGGGGAAGTTACTCAATTTTGTATGTGATTTCTGTATGAAGCACAATTAAGTCCTTTATAGAAACATAATCTTTTGTATCAGGGATGGACTATTTCCAGTCATTTTAACAATTTCCTGGTTTGTTTTTCTTTCTGTTATAATTGTTAGTGTAGTCTTAATTTTGTTCAGATTTTTCAATGAGAATTTTTCAAAATTCTTATAATTTTTTGAGTCATGTTCCTTTTGACATAGCTAATGGCTGATGTTAATGTTGAAGAAAAAGAAGTTAAATTAGAGAAATTTAGTAAATGTGCACTTACCCAAGTATGAGGAATATGTGCAGAGTCCAGGTGTTCTATTTTGTGTTATGTCCCCTAAACACAAAATGAAGAAACTTTTAAAATTATATTTTAAAGAAAATAAGCATACAAAGTACAAGTAGTTCCAATAAGAAATATATATATATTTTTACAGGTTATTATTAGGCTGTGTCATTTATGATTGGATTAGCAATCTAACTCATAGGTGAAATACAGATCTGCAGAGTGATGCCAGCAAAAATTTTGGAGGAAGGGCATCTGAAAATTTTCTTCTCCATAGAAGCCATGAAAACACTGGAAAATATTGTAAGAATCAACTTTTCAGAACTTTAGAAATAATCAAAATCTTAGAGCAATCCAGGGAGCATTTATTCAAGAAAAAAATGACCAGATCTTGTTAGAACAGCAAGTTGGTGGCATTTTAAGGTGCTCTATGTCCTTTCTTGCCTCTCCAGCTCTTTAAAGTAGCCTTGAAAAAAATAGCAATCTGTTATCAGGGTGAAAACCAGCAGGCACTAGAGTGGGCAGAGTTGGGTAGGAGATACTTCCAAGACTTGACCTCAGAGAATTATTATTATATATAACCTGATAACTCTGTGATAGAATGCTCTTGTAAGGCTGTCTTGACTTGATCTGACTCTGAGCTCTCCCATAAATAAAGAATATTCTGTTTTCATAACATTTTCCTGAACTTCAGGCCTAAAGAATGAATATTTTATTTTATTTCTTAGACTGGATAAAAAATACTGCCTTAAGTCTAGGCCTAAGAATTGGGCACGTAGTTAGGAGAAAGAAACACTTGTTCATCCCTTGTCGTCATGCACATACATGTTCCATACACTTCTTAGAAGCAGTCATGGCACATGAAATACTTTTTCTATGCTTGTAAGCTTTTAGATTTCTTAAAGCTATCTCATAGTTACCACTGTCCAGTGTTTCTAAAACTTGGCTCAGTTCCTGGCGTATAATTGAACTTCAATACATATTTATTAGAAGGATAACTTCTTTTTTTTTAATTTATGAAATAGGGCATACATTACTGAGGTATCATTCTGCATAAAGATTAAGTAAGTGGGACTGAGAGTAGAGCTGGGCAC